TGTGTGTGTGTGTGTGTGTGTGTGTGTGTGTGTGTGTGTGTGTGTGTACGTGTGTGTGTGTGTGTGTGTGTGTGTGTGTGTGTGTGTGTGTGTGTGTGTGTGTGTGTGTGTGTGTGTGTGTGTGTGTGTGTGTGTGTGTGTGTGTGTGTGCACTTTCCCGGATGATTGACTACCCTCTCAAGTAGACCGAGTGTCTGCCCCATGAGATAGTGTTTTTAGACTGTTCCACTTTTACCGAACTGTGTGCGTGTGGCAGCAGACTCGTGGACCCGCACAGGGACGTGCAGAGGGGAAATGGACTGTAAAACAACATTCATTCATGCTCCAGCCAGAGAGACAGAGAGGGTGTAAATGCAAAACTATTGTGCATACGATCACCTGCATGCAAATCCTGAGATTAGAAACGGGGCTAGGCCTTTTTTTTTAACCTACTTCTAACTGGGAACAGAGTTGTTGTTCTTCTCCTCCACCCAATAGAGGGCAGGATGTTTGTTGCCTGTTGTGAAGCATCGCTTGGTGCAAAACATAGCATGCTTTAAACTTCTGATACAAACCTTTCTCATCACTCTGGCAGCCCTTTCACATCTTTGTCAAGTCATGCCATATGCTGCCTAACCCAAGGGAAGACCCTGTCTAAAGATGGCGTGTTGTCACCTTGCATTCTCTCATTATCACATTTGTTTTTTCTTTAATTGTTTGCCATATGGCAAGAATGGGCATCTCTTTCCTCAAGGTAAGAATTGTATTGGCTCTGCTGAGGAAGGAAAAGGAGACGGGAACCACACAAAGGAAGGATGTGTCTTAAAAAATTTGAATTTGGCCAGTGTGTGTCTTGTTTTTCCTCCTCTGCAGATGCGCACTGAGGCCTCGGTTAGGAGAAGTTAAAAATACGAGCTCTGTTCCACAACCCTCTACTTATTCCTCCGGGTTCTCAGAAGTCGTGTTTGCTATGCTTGTCACATCGAACTTTTTCCTTCACGGCCTTCGCTTGTGATCTCTGTTGATATCAAATGCTTTTCTAAGCTTTTAATTGAGAAAGCACACGTGTCAATATAACTAGATTTTGCGATCGTTTATGCTTGTGAGTGTGTGTGCGCCTTTTTTTTTTTTTTTGCAGGAACTTTGTGTTCCTTACCATCCTGTATGTGTGTTCCAGGCTCAGGTGGCATTCCTTCAGGGTGAGAGGAAAGGGCAGGAGAATATGAAACAGGACCTGGTGAGGCGGATCAAGATGCTGGAGTACGCCCTCAAACAAGAGAGGTAAGACGAACGACAGGGGAACTCCTTTCTGTCCCTGTGCCCTCATGTCTGTTATCCACTCAACCTTCTGTCATAATGTTTCGCATGCTGAAGGAATAGTGATTTGATAGTGAAAGGTTTTCCTGTATTTGCCTGTAATGATGCCCTCATGTGGTGTTTTGTGGGGTTGCAGGGCGAAGCATCAGAAGCTGAAGACAGGAAATGACCAGAGTCCCGGAGACAAGAAACCAGAGACAGAAGCAGACCAAGGTATGTTTAACCAAGCCGTTCTACACTCCGTTACTGCTGCTTTACTTTCAGAGCAACTCAAAATGTCTGCTTTCTGCTCATGCGTTGCTGTTGCATCACTATTGACCAATCTTTTTCCTGTAGTTCCCAATGGGCCTGCTGAGTCAGACTCTGAGCCAGCCAATCAGATGTCCTGGAAGGAGGGACGTCAGCTACTACGCAAGTAAGGCCTCTGTGTCAACTACTCCTTTTTATTTCGGTACCATATGTATTCCAATACTACTTTATCATTGGTGTTAAACTTATGATCTAGACTGATTGATTTATATATGGGTGGATATTACTGAATGTGTGTTTTTTTTCCTGTGAATGTAGATATCTTGAAGAAGTGGGATATTCAGACACCATCCTGGACATGCGATCTAAGCGTGTGCGCTCACTGCTCGGGCGGAGCAGCCCCGAGGCTAACGGGCCTGCACCCAGTGAAACCTGTCCTGAGCCCGAGCCCCGGGCAGGTGGAGAGTCGTTGTTGGTCAGACAGATAGAGGAACAAATCAAGAGGTGAGACTGTGGAAGCAGTTTACAACACAAAGGCCCAAATCATGATTTAAAACAGAGAATGATATTTTCTTTGTTCCAGTTTGTTCTCTTGTATAAATCACTTTACAATCATGATCTTTCCATACCTGCGAGTGCTATGAAACTGCTTTTTTTCCCACCTCAAGAAATTATGATGGTCATGCGGTTCTAGCGGTCTAGTGCCACCCTGTAAAGACAGGGCCTAATTTATACGTTATGACATAATCTGAATATCTATTCAAAGACATGAGCTTGAAATATTATGGTTGGCTGATTTGGGTAGTGCACACACCGTACTGTCTAGAGTGGGTTCTCTTCTTAAGAACGAACATAGTACGTGCAATATCTTTATAAACGGTGCACTTTATACACGAGACAGTTCATCATTGTATCGTAAGGCTGCTTTGTGAGTAGCATTTTTCTGTAGCTGACAGTGAAACAATAGCGCACCGCAATCTTAAAAGCATCGTAACATTGTTATAAACATGGTAAGATTATAAAAAGAAAATAACAAAAAAACTGTCACGGTTGTGTACCTGTCATTGCACAGGAAATATATAACTACCTGTCAGGCAGGTAAAGAAATATTGTTGTGTTAATGTTTAACTAGGACAGTAAAAAAGAAAGCACATTACTTATAGTTGTTGCACTCATAAAACCTTTTTTATATTATAAGCAAATAGCTCTACTGTAATGTAGACTGCTGTGGCCAAACCTCCTATAATATGGTATTATATAAGTATAATTAAGGTCGTCCTGCCTCCCTCTGCAAGGTATTGACCTAAATAATATTTTTTTCCCTTATTAACCGGAGTGGAGAGAATAATTGTCTGCGCTTTTGTAGGAACGCGGGCAAGGAAAGCTCTAAGGAACGTCTGGGCGGCTCGGTGCTCGATAAGATCCCCTTCCTGCATGGCTGCGAGGATGATGATGAAGACGACAGTGACGAGGAAGAAGACTTCCAAGGCATGGCCACTGACTGCATCGATGGACCGCGAAAGAACAAGAAGTCTCGTGTAAAGGTATGATCGGTGATTTAAGAATACAACGAGGAAGCTGAGGAAAATTGAATGACTAAACACAAACTGCAAACTTTATTCATGACTAATCAAACCCTCTTCTCTGCTGTGTGCTCATCTCCAGATGGGTTCGGAGCCCATGACCACAGACCTGGACCCGGAGGACGAGGAGGACGAAGACGACTCGGAAGATGCCCTCAGTGAATTTGACTTCCTGGGCTCGGGGGAGGATGGGGAGGGGGCGGGAGAGGCCCGGATCTCGGGGGACGGACGGGAGTTAGGTATGCTGCTGCCGTAGCAACATCATCAGCACAGCACTGCCAGAATCACTGCCACCAGTGTATCTGTCTTATTTGCCCCTCCCCCTCCCCGCTCACCTTTTTTATCTTTTACTTCTCATTGTGTCCTGGCATCTCTTCTTGTCAATAAAAACCAACCTCTTTTCCCAACCACCTGTCTCTCTGTCCTGTTTCACGAGCTGTCAGTCTGTGACTCTTTAGAGCTGTGTAGCTGTCATCTCTGTCTGTGGATGTATTCTCTGTGGTGCGGGGTCATTTTTTTCAAAGGTTGTCAAGCATGCAGCCTTCTCTTTTTTAATGTCCACATTTCATTCTTTGAGTCACATTTACACTGTAATCCTGTGCGCTTATTGATTTCGTCCTCTCACAAAAATGTATATCTATATATTTTTTTAAATTGTATGTTTTGTATTTAAAGAATGAAGTCTATCTTTTTGCCTCTGTCTACATCCGTCTGTCTCTCATCTGTCCGTCTGCTGGCCCCTCCAACCATCCTCCGCCCCTCTGCATGACTGGATGTTTTGTGTCTCTCTCCTCTTGCCGGGTTCAGAGAACCGCAGGAACAAGTTACAAGGCATGATGTCGGACTTCCCCCCTAAACCCACCCCGCCCCCCTCTGTATCAGGACAGGCCCGCCCCGGGGAAGGTAAGACTCACCCACCATTTATACCTCATCGAAAACCGCAGACTATCCTCTACCGCTACTGACTGTAGCTTTAGACGTTAAATCACAAAAAGTTGGATGATGTCTCAGTTTGGTGAAATGTTAAAGCCTGCGTAGGTGTAAACTTACAAAACTGCTCCTACGCCTTTTAAATATTTCCTCTGATACACAGTGTGCGAGTAAGGAAACAAGATTATTGGACGCTTGCTAGGGAGATCTAAGATCCATTGCTATATTTTACATTCTTCATCTCAGACTGTCTTTATAGGGCCATAATGTTTTGTGGCACTCTTGTGCGCTTCCACCTCCAACCTGCAGGTGGCGCCCTGGGTTTTTCCTCTGACGTCTTCATTATGGACGCCGTTGGAGGAGGAGACATGAACCTGGGGGAGCTGGCTGATCTCACCGTGGCCAATGATAACGATCTCTCCATGGATGTAACTACACATTTGTTCTGGTCAATACACAGGATGTAACCCAACGTGCATGTGCACACTATGTGTGAAATGTTGACTCTTTCTTTTTTTAAATGTGTGTCCTGCCAGATGCAAGATAACAGAGAGGAGTTTAAGAAGACATGGAACCCTCGTTTCACACTACGCAGCCACTTTGATGCCATCCGCGCTTTGACCTTTCACCCCAGTCAAGCGGTGCTGCTCACAGCCTCTGAGGATGGCACACTAAAACTGTGGAACCTCAACAAGGCCATGCACTCTAAAAAGTAAGAATCCTTAGATCCACAGGGAGGGAGGGAAGAACATGTATATCGCTCTTTTTTTTATACTTACAACTCACTCCAAAGGCTTTCCGAGCAGCAGTAGGACAGATAAAGTACAAATGTCAAATCAAACACAGCAAAGATAAGAAGCTAATTCAAAAGATTGCCTCCCTCCCACAGGAACGCAGCGTTGGATGTGGAGCCCATCTACACATTTAGAGCACACAGGTGAGTTGAGTACAAATACAAAATCCACACCGTACACAGAAGCAGTGCAGCCACTGACGCCTCTCTCTTTAACGTCCAGTGGAGCTGTTCTGTCGCTGACCATGGGCGAGGATGGAGAATCCTGCTACAGCGGGGGTCTAGATGGAACTGTCAGATGTTGGAAGATGCCAGACCTCAATGTGGATCCTTATGATAATTATGGTCAGTCATTATCAACTACAGAGTAATAATGATTTTCCGATTTAGAAGTATTTTCCTTTTTTTGTTTTTTAATATGTGCGCTTGTCCATCCAGATCCCGGCATCGAGAGCAGCGTACTAGCCGGCCACGAGGACAGCGTGTGGGGTCTAACTTACTCGGCGGTTCTCCATCGTCTCGCCTCGTGCTCAGCCGATGGCACCATTCGCCTCTGGGACCCTCAGAACTCTGCTCCCTGCCTGTCTGTCTTCAATAAGGAGAGAGGTAGACGTCTGTGTTGAGTGTTGAAGAAGTGCTTTTGAGCTTTGTATTGCCTCCATGCCTGACAACTTGATCGTCTCACGTCTTCTCTCAGAGCACGGAACACCCACCTCGGTAGCCTTCGTGGCCACTGACCCCAACCAGGTGGTGGTGTCATTCGATGCAGGTGAGACGCTGCTCTACGACCTCAACACAGAGCAGAGCATCACTGCGCTGGAGACGCAGACCAAGGACGGTAGGTTCTGGAGCCTATTTGTAACCCGCTTTGAGATAAGTTAGAAATAAATGAGATGAGATTCAGTTGGGGTTGTTTGTCTTCCTTTGCAGGCAGTGAGCTGATCAACCGCATTGTCAGCCACCCATCTGAGGCCGTCTCCATCACTGCACATGAGAACCGCACCATCCGCTTCCTGGACAACAAGACAGGTATCTGCATGTCTTTTACTTGTATTGGTCACCTGTTCATTTCTGGAATGTGAATGCACCTAAATAAGCTTGTTTTGTGTGTTCATTCAGGTCAAGTTGTCCACTCAATGGTGGCTCACCTGGATGCGGTCACCTGTCTCACTACAGACCCTAAAGGCACTTACCTCATCTCTGGCAGTGAGTGCCACTCACCTTTACTGTTTCCTAATTTAGCTGAACATCTTAGAATCGGGCTTCTTCTCCCAAATCACTCCAAACTCTATTTTCATATAACATCATCGTACCCAGAGAGAGATTTTAATGCCCGACAGTTTCTTTTAATATTGCGTCCATTCTGCACAGAAGTGGGTATTTTTCAGGAATTGTTAAAAAGGTCATGGGAATCACACTGTAAGGCATTGCAGAAGAAGTTGTGCATTAAGTCTAGCTTTAAAAACAACATGAAGGATTCCTCTACATTGCACTCCACAGTGGTCTTTGCCCGTGGTAACATTGTCTTTGCTTTCGCCCGCTCTCCGCCCCCCTGCAGGCCACGACTGCTCGGTGCGCCTGTGGATGCTGGACAACAGGACGTGCGTGCAGGAGATCACAGCTCACAGGAAGAAGCACGACGAAGCCATCCATGATGTGGCCTTCCACTCTTCACAGCCCTTCATCGCCAGTGCCGGCGCAGATGCACTCGCCAAGATCTTTGTCTGACAGCAGTGTCGTCATTCTGGTGAGATGGGGGTCACGTTTTTGCCTGTATTACAAAATGGGAGTGTTGAGTTTGATATGAGTAGTTCTCAACGGCTGTTGGTCTAACTTTGTTTGTTTCTGCCTTTTAGAGTCCTACAAAAACAACTGGGCAAAAAGAGACTGAAGACTACAGTGGACACATTTCACCTGCTTACGCACACACACACACACACTCTCACACACACTTGTCCTGCAGCCCACTGGCTGGGTCATCACCACAGGACATATCCTCTCCTCAATTCTCCGCTCTTCTCTGATGCCTCAGTGACTTCTTGTAATACTAATCACACTGCTTTTTTTTATAAAAACACAGCTGCTCCTTTTTTGAATAATCATATTTGGAGGAACACTTTTCTACACTATTCTTTTTCTTTTAATATTTTTTTTTTTTCATTCTACCAACACTCATCACAAACCTGCGTGTGTGTGCGCGCGCGTGTGCGCGTGGGTGTGTGTGTGTGTTTATGTGCTTAAACTGCTGACACACTACTTAGGTTAAGAAACCACCAAGGAAGCGCTCGCACTGCACAGCACACACACGAGGCACCAATGCATGCATTTCAGTTGAGATCTTAATTTAAGAAATTGCCTGTGGCTAACATACATATGTAGACATGACTAATAACAGTTATCTTTCCCAGTGTCTGCAGAAAACACCCGACCGACCTCTTCATTGGGAATCAATGTATTACATTCCAAAGACTGCAGGTAGAGTGTGTGTGTGTGTGTGTGTGTGTGTGTGGTGGTGTATTCAGGGTCGGAGAATGTTGACTTTGTTGTGTGTGTGTGTGTGTGTGTGTGTGTGTGTGTGTGTGATGTGAGGAACCATTAGACAGTTGCTCGCCAGTGTTGAACAAATAGCTTTAATTTCAACTTTATGGCCAAGTCTCATTGTACGTATGAGTATTATAATGTCCCCGTCATTCGTGAGATAAAATCTCACTCTGCTGTACAAGATGAATGAAACACAATCATGGTCCATTTCTACAAATGTACAGTTTGAACTCTGTAGACTGATGCTCTCACGACACATTAACCAGCTAAAGGTAGATACCCCGAGGGTGCAGTTAAAGTTGGTTGACTTGCAGAGGTAGTGAGGCCCGGCTGTATGCTCTCAACAAATGACACGGATTGTGTCATTTGGTGCTTTTTACTGTACAGAAGAGCGCGTGTGTGTTCGTATATATGCACTAGTTAAATCACGGTGCTATGAGAGACCTCGTCAGTCTTGAGTCAGAATCAGGGACCTGCTTTGTGTGTACGTGTGAGAAAGAGAGACTGTGTTTCTCACTCATCGGACTATAAAGTGAATCTGCTTTTTAAATGAAATTTCATTGGTTAATCACTTCAGTAGCTGTGGTCTCATTTTAGAATGAACTATTAACATCTCTCGTTAGAGAGACGCGAGTGGTGTCGCCATTGATCGTTAGAGGAATGTACAGAGCTGATGAGGATTATTTTACAGTGAGTGTCACTTGGACTGAAAACATTTCCTCAGATGAGACCTGGTCAGATCGTCTTTTTCATTTCATCTTGGAAGTCGGCGCCAGTTTTGTAGGCGGTGCTTGGTTCTGGCTTGTTGTTATTTATTCAGGCTTTCCAAAAAACAGAAGAGAGAACAAAAAAAAAAAAAAAAGCTTGACATTACCTACACTTGTATGTTGAGGTGAGGTTCCCTTGCCTTGTTTTTGACGTGCATCAGTTGCACGGTAGCACATTACCCAGAGAGCCAATGACGTGAAGCTGGTCTCCTCTTTCTGAAGAGGTGGGGAGAAAAGGGAGAAACGAAAAGAAGAGAGTCCATTTTAAATTCAGCCACTTTTGCCATTTCAGAAAAGGAAACGATAGAAGAAAGAATTGATTTGAATATGTTTGGGTGTCGGTTGATGTTAGTAGCATGACTCGGCACCTAATCTGTCTTGCTGATCCCGTATGGTTCTGCTATTTTTAACATTACCCAGAGGACATTTGGTTTAGGTGGAAACATTGTTCCTTTGAGACACTGTGTCCCGCATCTATACTGACCCTGACTTCAAATTACTTGACTGGTAATTGTTTAGTATTACCTTGAGAAGACCGATTAAGGGGACCCTTCCCCTCTTCAAGAATACAGGGTCACTCTAGGGGTCAGAGGTCAGATCTAAGGGTTCAAAGTAGCCTAGATGTAAACACTTCTTTTCCTAATCTCTGCGGACACTAGCATTCATAGTTCAGTTTTTATTTTTTTTTTCCTGAAGCAGGATGGTGGACTGTTCCGGACGCAACTACATTATTGTACTGCTGCTGGACATAACATCCTGTTATCACATTTAACTACTATCTGGCTCCACTTTGCACTACATTTAATTGTGGATGCTTGTGGTGAGGAGTGATTACAGACAGGGTGCGGAAATAATGGTTTGCATGTATTTCTTTTACAATCTGAAGTAAATACTACGAGATGAAAAGCCTGCTGTGGCTGGCATTTATTTGATAGTGAGAGTTACTGATGGCCTCTTTCTGAGAATAAAGACGAATCAGTACGACACTTCAAAAAAATGAAGAAAGAAATTGAAACGGAGGTTGTAAATGATGACTCGAAATGCCATCATGTGCTGTAAATGTCCATCGTTTCCTTGTTTTCTTTCTTTCTTGCATTTCTTTCCTTTGATTATAAATATGTTTATTAAGATGTAAGAATACTGTAGTATCATAAGTGAATCATTCTTCCTCGCTAGGCATAGAACTTGCTTGTGATTGATAATGGCAATGTACAACTTGTAAAAAAGAAAACGATTAAAAAAACATGAAAATTAAAAAAAAAAGTTTAAAAAAAAAACCAAAAAAAAAAACCTGTTACCAGTCAGAGGCCAAGGTAACGGACTCTCATTTCTTTGTTTTTATTTTTTTATTAGCAATTTATCACTGTGTGATATTTTGTACATCATATTAAGCTGTATTCAAACAATTTCCTCTAACTACAAGGGATAAGAGACCTGCTTTTTATTCATTTTGTTTTATTATATATTTTTGAACTGCATTCTAGCCTGTATCAAATGACTTTCTCTTTTTGTTTACGGGTCCCCTGTTGTATGTCATTAAGGAAGAAAACAAAACAAAAAATGAAGATTTTGTACAGTGAATTGAAAGTTGTTTGTGTTGTCTTTTTTTTGCCTTTTTTATTAAGGGATACAAAACTTCCAAAAACAACTGAACACATGGAAGCGTCATCCCTTACCTGTCTGAAAATACACAGTAGAAGTACCTTGATGGACATGAGATTCTACAGCAATTTAGTTAAGGGACTTTTCAGAGAAATGTTTAAAAAACGTGTTTAATACATCAGAGACCAGGATTTCCTTTCAAACCTAATATTTGTCAAGTTCTAAAAAGGCTGGATGCCGCACTTCCCTAATACAACTACGTATCGTCTTCCATTCTCTGTTTTAACAACTGGTTTTCCGACAAAAACGTTCAATTATCTTGTTAAAATTCCTAAAACACATCTACTCCAAAATCTATGAATATGCAGATATAGTTTTTCTTTTTTGACAAACTACTGTTTCCAAAGTCAACATCCTGCTGTACTCCTGCTGTACTTCCCATGATGGGCCAGCTAATCTTGATTTGTGGAATGAATCGAGTTCCCCCTTTTCAATGCAGCCCCTCCAAAATCACGTTGATAACGTGTAAAGCAGAACTTCGTTGACAGTCTGGTTTGGTTTTTAAAGAGCCTCATCTTGTCACAGGTATTGTGTCAGCTATTAACCAAATAATTAACCAACCTACAAGCTTTTACCACGCTCAAAAGAGTATGCCATCTATATTACAGAGCCTTTTCTACATCACATCTTCACATTGCAATTGTATAATTTCAGCAGCAGGGTAAGTAAGATTTGTAAAATTGTTTAATTTTTAAATACTGCTTTATCTTTCAGCTTACGCACATAAAAACATTTTTATACATAATTGGTAAATGGAGTTTCAATGGAACACTCCTGTGTGTTTCACCTGTGGCTATATGTCCATTTGTAATATTAGGCCAAATATAAAGGTGAATGGGCAACAATGCAGCCCTATGACCTCATCTATACGTGTAAATCATTATTCAATATCCATCTCTATCAAACATTGCCCTCTTGTGGTGAAAAGTAGAGTCATGGCAAGCATTGTTTGCTGCTGCTTCCTTATTGTGGTCTATTGTCTTGGTTGTATTATTTATTAATTTATGGCTCCACAGGGAGAAGTACGATGAGAGGAACTTCATGAGGTCAGCGAGTTTCAGTAACTATCAAGGGACTTTTTCATGGCCAAACTTAAGTCATTATTTTAATCTGCATGCTTTCGATGTAAAATAAGATTATCGGTGCAGAGTGACAGTCATGTTGGTGATTGTGGTGACTAATTTCTACGCTACTGTATATTCTGGTGTGTGCAAAGTAACGCCACCTCCCTTGGCATGGAAGTTCCTCATTTTAATACTATCAACTTTGCATGTACACAGCTCTGAAATAGGTGTGGCCCTATTCTGCAGGTCTGGCAGAGGCGTGTCTTGTAAAAAAAAAAAAAAAAAAAAAAAATGCAAGGAGGAAAGGTGTCACAAAGGAAGAAATAAGGCAGGCAATAGAATGCCACGGGAAGAGAGAAGATGAGGAAGAGATGGGAGGGTTTTTGAGCGCGGAGCTGCCCCCTCAGGCAGTGTAAGCGGATCTGTGCTGGCCTGGACTCAGGGAGGGAGCAAACAAGACCAATAACCCCAAAGCAAGCAAGGAAGGGAGCGAGAAAGAGTGGAAAAAAAGAGGGAGAAGCCAGGGAGTAAGGAGTCAGAGGGCGGGACTTTCCGAGAGGCTATTGGCTCCAGCCTCTGTCAGTCATTTCACTTCCCCCCCCCGGCTGTGGCAAGATCACATATGAGAGGGCAGGAGGGAGGGGGAGAGGGAGGTACCCTCGCGCGGCTCTCACACTCTCTGTGTGCTTTTTCACAAGAAAAAGACTCAACTGAGGCTGAAACTGAAACAGGGCAACACTCGTAAAAGGAGTGCAGTCTCTTGCTCTCCTGCATTCTTAGTTTCCTGTTTAAGGAGGCCATTTTGTAACTCAGCCTGGAGAAGAGGCACAACAAAGTTTGGCATTGTTTTTGTTTTGTTTTTTGTTTTGTTTTTTCTCTCCCACGGCCGGGAGTTTCACAATCAAGTTTGGACTTTCTCCCGCCGCACATCAACGTCTTTAGACCAGAGAGCTGAAGGAGGGAAGGGAGGCGCGCCAGTCTCTCACACAACATTGCTCGTGCTTGTCATGCCAGGACAATAACAGGAGTCTGAAGAGGAGAGAGCACGGAAGAAGTGGCAGAAAGGGAGAAAAGAAAACAACACAACTTCCTGGATAAGGATTTCTCCCTTGATCCAGTGGTTGGGGGTGGACACAGGACACAGAGGAACCAGCACTCTCTGCTCAACGTGTGTGTGTCTCCATGTGTCAGTGTGTGAACCCCTCTCTCCTCCACTGAGACAGTCGAGTGTGGTTTTTTTAATGAGATCTTGGGAGTGTGTATGTTAAGAGCTCCGGGCAGCTGACAAACAAGACTGTTGAATGGCTAACGCTAGCCCTTGTATGTCCTCAGGGGCCATGGCCCAGGTCTTTTTCCCCCCTGTGGGCTCCTCGCCACCAGGCTCAGCTGTGATGCAGCAGGGGACCCCCATATCCATGCCCTCCATGCCTGCTCAGGGGGGGTTTCCTATGATAGACCTGACACCGGTGCAGGGTCCCAGTGGGGCTGTGATACCCTCGCAGCCTCCCACTCCAGCAGGGGTGTCCTTCATCATCCAGATCGGCCTGACCAGAGAATCTGTCCTGATGCCCCAGAGTGCTGACCTGGCCTATGTGAAACAAATTGCCTGCTCCATTGTTGACACCAAGGTAGGACATGTGTGTACGTGTGGTGGGTTCATATGTGTAAAGTGGGGAGGGTGGCATGTCAGGTAAAACTGGGCGTATGCCTCCCCCCCAGGTGGAAAGCTGTTTATGTCCGAGGCCACACTTTCATGTCTGTCTGTAAACTGCTTGTCAGATGAGCAGTTGGAGTGCTGCATTTCTCTTTTCACTCTGTTTTAGTGTCTCTGTCCCACTAAAACATGTGTAAACACTCTACTACTGTCATAGGTAAATGGAGGTGTTTAAACATGCAAGCAGACAAAGTATTTGAACCGGCGGCTGTGACAGACTCTGAGACAATGTACAAAATGTCACAATTTAGCTCCGCTCTATTTACGGCAATTAGCATTTTTGCCCCCCCCCTCACACAGTTGGAGGAGAACACTCTGTTCAATTAGGCTTTGTTATGCCACATTCAGGCTAGCTAGGATGTCTGATGGGCTCAGTTTTTGAGACGGTGTCATCTGGCTGTTCATGCATGGGCCAACATGTGTGCTGTACATGAAACAGGAAGTGTAGGACAATAATTTCAGCACTTCACATACTTTTATTTTTTACTTTATTGCACGCCTAAGACACATAAAGCAAAAGGAAGTCGGTGTCCAAATGTTGAGGAGCACCTTTACTTTCCTTCACTTTAACTAAATAAGAAAGTTACTATATATATATATATATATATATATATATATATATATATATAGTAACCACAGTGTGCTGGATGCAATCTGTCTTTGTCAAGATCAAAAGTCTCTTTCACTCTCCTCAGAGGTTTTGCATTTCATACCTAAAGAAATGATCACATCAGGCAATTTGAGTGTCTTCGCTGAGCGCTTCATTGAATTATTTCCTTGTTTATGCCAGTCACTGATCACTTTAATTTATAGCCATATATAAGGCCTTGTCCAAACAATTTGAATACTTGTCAGTCTTTCTAGAGATTACATTTTTATCGCCTGTTTTTTTTTAAACTTTTGTGCATGTGTGTGTGTGTGCGCATGTTATTGTTTTAAGTCTTCTGCAACTTGGACATTTTTTTTCATCTACTAGCTGTATTTAAAATGTGCCATTCAGCATTTTAACTATATTAAAAAAACATTGATCACAGTTGATTTTGATCATATCAAAAGCTTTGGTCTATAAAACACCAGAAGGGCAAACCGTTGAGACACATGTGAGTTCCTCAAACTGAGGATAATAAATTCAAATGTGTCTTCTCTATTTAACTGAAATAAAAACAACATGTGCAGGGTTTGGGGGGGGGGGAGTAGTGACATCCTCTTTGTAACAGGAAGTAATGAGTGTTATGGGGAATGTGGTCTTTACAGTGTTTTAGAACCACCGACTATATAGGCTAGCACATTTTCCACATGTACATGTAGCTATAGTAGAACACCCATCGAGGAGAGAACGTTTGAGCGGCCCATGTGCTGTTATCGGCCAATTAGCTTGGTAGGTGTTTAGATTAGCAGATTTCGACAGCCTTTGTAAAGCAGCTTTGTAAAGCTCCCCACAATCTTAAATCTTCCGGGACATTCTGGTGCTGTCTCCAGCCTGTTTTACCCACTCAGCTAATCTGTCCCTGTGCACAACAACCTTTGTTTTCTCCTCATAGAAGTGGTTCTCTGTCATGTATTTGATTTGATTTAGTGAGATCATTCAGCTATTCTATCTGATGCTGGATATCCACTCGCCACGCTGTACTCGGACTGAGATCAGTATAGCTGGAGTGTGTTCTCCCAACTGTGTTTCCGTATGATTGGAACAAGTAAGAGGTGTTGCTTACCAGCATCACGATGTAAACAACAGCTGCACCTCTCTGACTTCGTCTTCTTTTCTTCTTCTTCTTTTTGGTGTTTTTCTCTGACAAACCAGAACTCTCCTGTGTAATGTAAGAGAGGTTGTTATTGGAAGTATTGAAACTCGCATAAAAAAATAGCACTGCAAAATGTCAAAATAACGACTTACGAACTTTTATCAACTAGCCAGTTACCTCTGTGACTCAACAACACCTGCAGCTGCTTCACAGTAAAAGTTGTTATGCTAAAAAAAAAAACTCTTTTGGTGTTTAAAGTACATAGATTTGCATTTAAAAAACAATATACTCGGTTGGAAAGCCAATAAAGACATTCGACGAGGAGTAGAAGGCTCTTTAGTAGGTCACCATGGTTAACCAGTGAGGTCTAAGAAGCCTCTACATTTAGATTCAGACTTCTTTTAATACATTTCTGTCGGTGGATCAGTGTGGAAATAACCTTCATTACACCTCTGATAAATAATGGCAAACAGCGAGGCTCCGATCTATGACGAATAAGAGCAGCGACTCTTGTGTCCTAAACAACTGAGGGGGATTTTAGTCAAATTTGGATGAGAGTGTCACGGCTTTTGTACTGCTTGCAAGTATGTAAATAGCACATTATGGCATTGGTCAGCTGGAGAGGTTCAAATGTATAATGAAGTTGGGATGGTGCAGTATTCTGTTGTATGTGTGTGCATGGATTTGTGGGTGGTACCACACTAGCAGTGACTTGATGCTGTTGCAGGGCAGAATGTAGAACAGTCAGTGTGACATGCAGTAAGGTCGCACTGAGGGTAATTAATAAACAACCCAACAGCGCTTCCAACGTGGTAACACCCATCTAAACTTAAAGCTTTCTGTGTTTTAAGACAGAGAAAGGAATGCTGATTCCTCTGCAGAATGCTATATATATATATATACACATTGGGTACCAGTTTGTGGTTTCTGCTCCACAGCATCTAATTAAAGAAAAGACTCCCTTGTCAGCAAAAGAAAGAAATTGGCCTTCTTTTATGGTTTGGATCTTCCTTACTTCTTCCTTTTCTGCATCTTCAGTCCCGCTGTCCCCACAAAAGGATACTCTATACTCTGAACAATGCACTGACCAAACTCACAGAACTCCGAAACTCACAACGCCTTCAAGGAGCCCAAATATGTGCGGCTAGACATCTATACTAGATATCTCAAATATCTAAACAGGTTCAGCCTTAAAAAAAACCAAACATTGTATCGCTTTAATGATATGCTGAAACAAGATAATAAAGTATGTATGTATGTATGTGTATGTGTGTGTATATATATATATATATATATATATATATATATATAT